GGCAAGAGGCGGGTGCGGACGCAAGTGGCTGGCACGGCCGTACCCGCACCTAGGCGTGCCACACACACACACACACACACACACACACACACATACCACAATACCTTGAAAGCCGTTATTTATTAGAATGCTGACTGATGGACGCTAGGGCTGGGCACCATCAATGCCATTTTGGACAGACATTTAGACTGCTATTAACCCCCCTTCTCCCCGTCTGAGACAATCGTGAAAACTCTTGTAGAAGTTAATATCCGTGATGTGGAGTTTTATTTGGTGGAGGTGAACGACTAGCACGTGCGACGCGCACACGGCGAAACAAACTGCCCAGTCAGCCAATGCGCCCAACAGCACCCACAGTCAGCTTGACGCACTCTTGCTTCCGAAACCCTCTGATGACTTTAAACACTGCACACGTTTACTTGTGTGTCACGGTTGTTCATGCAACACAACTCATGAATACATGAGCATAAATGGGACGTTTGGGGAGGCGACCGGCTGCCCTAAGTCGCTACCAATATCCTACAGGAGGACTACGAAATCGACTTCTCGCGCACACGCATAGGAACACGGGCCGTCAACAGGACAAGCAGAGCCACTGGAAGCCTCGGTCCTCTACAGCAATCCCAGGGACAGACATATCGATATACTTCCCTGATATTACGCGTTACTCCCACCGCACCATGAGACCATGGCCGGCCAGGTAGCGTGACATCAATCCCTACCAAGAACATACAGTTTCTCCTCTCCTCCCGCATTTTCGAACAATATAACTGCTCATGTTACTGTTATTCCGGCCTCTGATGATGGCCTCTAGTACTGGTCCGAAAGCCCTGGCTTCCAGAATAATCATTTTGATGATCGCATGTTCTTCTTTTTGACAATCGTTTATGCCCAATTACATGAAACTGTATGAGGCACTTGTAAAGTAGTACTCTGTCATGTCAGTCAAAGGCATAGGTTTTACCATGGATTCCGCCTTGGCACGTCTCCGGCACTACTTCTCTGCCCATTAGTCGGATTACATTATTACAATAGACGTTTTATTCAAGAAGTTACAGGATTTAACCGGTAAACTAACGAATTAAATGCATCGTCTTCTCACAGAAACCCACTTAGAAGAGCTAAAGTGTTTGCTGTCCGAAAAGAACTGCACACAGCATGGACCTAATCATGATGTCGCGGACTGCATCTCTCCACGCGTGTCGATCTATGACAGCAGATCTGGCGAGCTTAATTCATCCTCCCACCAGGGATGGGGGCAGGAAACCGAGAATCTAAACGCCATCTTCGTGCCTTGGGGTCTGTGTCGAACCAGTTTTTGAGTTGACCTCCTCTCCAGGGTCCCCAACTAGGCAGCGACGCATCATCATGTGTGGAAATATTAAATTCGTGTAGCAAACGCCGAAGAACGTGTTCAAACCACCTCAGCCGTCTTTATTAGATGGTCTGAGATATCCTAATAATGTCATTGGAGCAAGTGTAGTCTGTTTCATTCGAGACAGGACAGCTGTACTCCACCATAAAGATGCTGCTCAGCCAACGGTAGTTAATCACCTTCAGTCCTTGCTCGTCTTTCGCGGGTAGAGCTCAACATTTCCAATCATATAGGATGACTGACCAGATAAACGTCCGGTATACGCGAATCTTTATGACGATTATGACATCTCATCAACTCCATTCACACATTCTAAAGACTGTGGAAACTCCGCGAACAGCATCCACTTGAGAGAGTAGAATAAAATATAATACAATGGGTTTATTATAACACCTATTGGGCGCTGCCTGTCTCCCAAGAACACAGGAAGAAAAACCAACATGAACTAACCCATTCCAGTTGAACAGTGAATTTATTCACTCTGGGTTTCTTTCTAACAAACTCCATAGCTTACACGCAATTGTACAGTACAGTCTTAGACCACTCTGGATCATGAGACTCTGAAATAGTCTCAATTTCTTATTTAAATTCACACATGACCGAATATGCTCGAAATACGCTAACAAACCACAACGGTCCCCGGAACGTTGTAAATAACGATGATGCCTTAAGACGACGTCGTCCCTATCCTGTCCATTCAACAGCAGATTTGCTCATTTCTTCAACTTGACGGCTACCATTCCCGACGGTTGCCTTTTCCTGGTCAAGGACACACTCCGAAAATAGTGTAGTTTTGCCAGAATTTTCGGATAAACCTAATGAGTTAGCGAACTCCTTCAGTCGCGACACCCCGGCTTGTAGGATATTGGGGTTTGAAATCAGCAGAGGATGGCTTCAGCGAAGTAGAGGTCAGTCAGCAGGAGTCCGAGCACACATGGGATACTGTAAATACCGTATCGAACCCATCTGGTAATCCAGTCAGGACAGAGACTTATCAGAATGCAGACCTACTATCGGACGGTAGGGACATATTATTATGAACACGAATTCGTGCAGTAGTTGAAGGATAGTAGGCATTGACCATGGCGACGACTGTTTTCCTTGTCCGCCATAGGTTCCTACTATGGACGGAATCTAACGCTGCTTCGGAGTCAACGAAGCAGACGGCCGTCGGTTACTGACTGTCATGGCAGAAATTAGGAATGGACTAGTGTGAATACCCGGTCAGTGCATCCACACCTAGCTCAGAACTCGGTTTGGTTTGGTCTAGTCTGCGAGTCATGCCACCGAAATTATCGGACAATAACACTGCAAATATTCATTGTCACGTCAACGACACTTATGTCCCGGCAGCCCTCGTACTTAGTCTGATCTCCCTTCTTGAACATGGGCACAATTTTAATCGAGTCCCAACTATCAGAAACGAGTTTACTTCCCCGTGGCTGCCTAACCATCCCTTAGAACCAGGACGCCGGTGTTTACGCAAGGCTTACAAAACCGCTTTTCACACAGCGAACAGTCATTCTGTGCAGAGGGCCTGCCATCAACTTGGCGAATAGTTTGCAGGAATTTTCGACTGTCGTCGACGTCTGAGGCCTGTTCCATGGAGGACGACCCGCAGGCAAAGCGATATGCGCAAGGTGCAGGACATAGCACTAATCACCAATGCCCGGATTCGAGCACTGACATGCCAATGTTTACAGAATTTTGTACAAGTAAAATGTACTATTAATAGTCCTTAGGGGTGTTTGCAGACGAGCTTCCGGCATCCCCCCATCTGCTTCTCCAGCACTGAATCTGCATCACCGCAACGATCATCATTGACCGGTTTCCCTGGCATGGTGTGAATAACTAAGTCCAAAACTGGGCACAAACCGGCTTTGTGTAAATGCCGGAAATGCCACTACAAAACCAAGGCCCTTCTGCTAACATTTCGACAGGGAAATGTAGGCGTGGCTCAACATAATCCGCTCAAGCAATCGGTCCAAACGTTTGCCGGCCGGAGGAGAGCCACACTGTTGTTATATCTTATTGCTGAAGGCATCTTTCACTTCGTCCTCTCCATTTTAATTTGCTCCGTTCCCCCAAGGAAAGTACTAAAGAGAAAGCAGTGATGGGGTTGCCTGTTGTAATAGTATGTCCCCTACTCGCAAGCCCATTCTCAAACCAGGGAACAGTATGCGCAATGAGTGTTTGACTAACGCGCAATCCCTTTCAGTGATCCCAAGCCTAATAACTACGCTTCTACCATGGCCGATTTGGGCCTACATTGCTATGCAATTGATCCAATTTAGCCCTAAAAAGCCGGTCGATACTTCAAGTCGTTGTCCCCAACTGGACTAATAAAAAGCATGTGCCGATGTTGTGAAATTGGGAAATTAGCTTATTGTTGTTGTCGACTGCGTTCACAATATTCCAGCACAGCCGCTAGGCATCTTGGTGATTTTTATTGCGTGCGGCAAACTGATGGGCTCCATTCACCTTGACGACTCTGCATGCAAAGTAGCGGTGGGGGAGAGATGATTGGGGGGACGTTATCAACCAGCATCACACCTATCACAGGTGAGTGTGGTGTACGTTCCGTATGGTAGGAGTTCAAAGGGCTTCAACAAGACCACTGCTGCGAGTGGCCGATTGCATGTTAACCGGAATTCTGACTGCGTTTTCGATTAGGAAGGATTACTCAAGTGGGGTTGGAATATTCACAATCATGCGGTATAATCCTGTGATATACCAGAAACGCCAAAATGTTGGTTTCTGAGTGCGCCCCTTTTTGAGTGCCTGTAAAAGCGCACTCGGAAAAAAATGGCTACTGTTTGTCGAGGCGCCAGACTATCTTGCCCTTACTTACTTGTTCATCATTTATGAACTTACTGGTTGCGTAACTGAATGGAAGGAACGCGACACAGAGCGACGCGCTCGGCATCTCTTGGATTGTCAGGTCGTTTGACATTTGATTATTAATTCTTTCATAACTCCTGTCTTATCCTGATATCGATAGTCTGAGATTGGCAGTCGTGTCTTTTGCGCTCGCAACAGTGGTTACCCCTTTGATTTTCACGCTTGAGCCTTTAATCGGTTGACGTAAATTTGCTGCTTGTATAAAGGCCTTTTTCCTTGATCGTGTCTACACCACCATGTCTTCTACGGATTCCAACTATGCCACTACTTCTCTCAGTGGACGTGTTTCGTCCCTCCCAGACTTTTGGCAACGCGCGCCAGAACGTCATTGCTTCTGTATTTAGTCGACATTTCACTCTGCAAAGATAACACGATAAACCGACAAGGATTATAGGTTGGACAAGGCTCCTCCTTCTACCATTCTGTCCCAAATACAGACATTTTTGCGTGATCCCCCGACTGATGCTCCATACACGAGACTTGGGGCTGAAATCTTTCGCCCGACCTCAGTCTCAGATCGGCAGCGTTATCAGGCAATCCTAAAAGAGGAGGCCTTACGTGGTCCTAAGCCGTTGGAACTCCTGCGTCGTATGCGTTCTCTCGTTGGGAACATGGCCATCGACGATAAGTTCTTTATTGAGATGTTCTTAGTACGTCTGCCGACATCGGTGCAAACAGTCTTGGCCTCCGACATAGATGATTTTGGCATTTAAAATTAGCGGAAATGGCCGATCGTATGGTGGAGGTTGACCGTTTGTCCTCCACGACAATTGCTCAAGTTTCCCAGTCTCTCACTGTGTTCGCCTCTGACCTGGCTGAACTAAACACCCAGACTGCCCAGTCGTCGGTGATCGCTGTTGCTGTGCAGCTGCGCGATCTGCCGGTCCCTCTCGACGTTCCTTTGGCCGTGACCGTCGTCGTTCCCGCTCTCTCCCCAGCACCGCAAACCTATGATGGTATCACGTAAACTTTGGCGATAAGGCCTGGCGCTGTGTCCCACCCTGCTCCTTCAAGTCCACGCAGGGAAACTCCTCGGCCGGAGAGCAAATGCGGCCGAGCTCTCTGGCAACTCTTCGGGTCGCACTTTTTACATCCGTGATAACACGAGTGGCAGGCACTTTTTAGTCGACACTGGCGCTCAAATTAGTGTCATCCCTCCCACGCCAGCCGACCGACGTTGCCCCAACCATGGTCTTTTCCTCCAAGCCGTAAACTCATCCCCAATTTCATCTCGATCCCTCTCCCTGGATATTGGTCTCAGGCGATTATTCCCCTGGATATTTGTGGTGGCTGATGTGCGCACCGCCATCCTTGGTGCTGATTTTTTGGCCGCCTTCGACCTTCCGGTGGATCGCAGGCAACTTTGCCTCCACGATCGCGCAATTACCCTCACCGTCAAAGGATTTCCTCCATCCTCAGCTTCTAACCATCTATCCGTCCTTGACCCAAAGCTGGCAGTTCATTCCGTAAACTTTTAGCAAAATATCCTACTCTCACTAAGCCCCATTCTCCCGACTACTCATTGTCCCATCATCACATAAAAACGACTGGTCCTCCCGTTTTCTCTCGTCTCCGCCGTCTTGCTCCCATGCGTCTTGCGGCTGCTAAAGCTGAATTTGTTCAAATGTTGCAACCAAAGCCTATTCGACAGTCTGACAGTCACTAGGCATCTCCATTGCACATAGTTCCTAAACCACAAACGGATGATTGGCGTCCTTGCGGCGATTATAGAGCCCTGAACGATATCACTATGCCCGATCGGCATCCGGTTCCTCATATTGAGGTTTTTGCCGAAGCTCTCTGTGGCAAAACCGTTTTCTCGAAGACCGATTTGGTCCGGGCTTTTCATCTAATTCCGATTGCGGTTGAAGACATCTCCAAAACGGCAGTGAAGACCCCTTTTGGCTTGTTTGAATTTTTTCGTATGCCATTTCGTTTCCGAAATGCCTGACTTTCCACGTTCCACTGACCGTGTTTTACGTGGCCTCCATTTGTTTATTCGCATACTGATGATTCCCTCGTCAACAGTCGGGCTGTCGACGGACCTCTCCAATACCTTACCCTGCTTTTCAACTGAGTTCAGCAGTTTAGTGTCACCTTGCATCCTGGTAAATGTGTCCTAGGAGCAACTTCTCTTGAGTTCTTAGGTAATCTGATCGACTCAAACGGCATTCGGTGTCCTCCCTCAAAGGTCGCTACCGTTCGGGACTTTCCACCCCCTACCTCGGAGCGTCAGCGGCAACGGTTTCTCGGTATCGTGAACTTTTATCGCCGGTTTCTCTTGAACTGCGCCGACACCGTCCTACCGCTGACCAGTCTCCTCACAGGTCCTAAGTGCACCTCTGAACTTACACCAACAGCAATCACGTCATTTGAGCAGGCAAAAGCCCTTCTGGCTGATGCCACTCGCCTGACTCACTTTCATGTTGATGCACGCATATCTCTGATGGTCCATGCCTCCAATGTTGCTGTTGACGCGGTTTTTCAACAAAGTCTGCCAGATTCTACCGTGCTTTTGGCTTTCTTCTCCAGGAAACTATTCAAGGCCGAAACCCGGTACAGCACATTCGGACGTGAGCTTCTCGCCGCTTATCTTGATGTAAGACACTTCCGGCATTTGCTGGAAGGTCGAGAGTCCACAATTTTCATAGATCATAAGCCACTCACCTTTGCTATGCATTCCCATTCTGACAAACTAAATCCCCGGAAGATCCGCCACCTGGACTACATTTCTCAGTTCATTTCAGACATCCGCCATATTGACGGTCACGGAATGAGGTGGCTGACGCACTGTCCAGGCCCTCCATCGCCCACCTCTAGCTTTCACCCGGGATCAACCTCGCTGAGATGGCCGCTGAACAACGCCGTGTCGGTTCACCCTGTGATGAGGATGTTTCCGGACTCCAGCTTCAGGAGCTACCACTGACAACTGGCAACGGCACTATTCTATGCGACGTATCCACCCCATCCCATCGTCCATTTGTGCCGCCATCCCTCCTCCGCAAAGTTTTTTCCTCCCTGCACAATCTATCTCACCCTGTGAGTCGAGCTACTGACGAGCTGGTTTCCGACCGCTCCGTCTGGCCTGAGATACACAAGAACCTCAAAGCATGGACACGGGCTTGTATTGCCTTTCAACGGAGTGAGGTCCAGCGGCACAACAAGGCTCCCATCGGCACCTTCCCCGGCCCTAGTGCAAGGTTCAGTCACGTTCACCTGGACATTGTAGGCCTCCTGCCCCTGTCCAGTGGTTGTTCCTATCTCCTCACCTGTGTGTATCGGTTCACCCGTTGGCCTGAGGCTACTCCCCTACCTGACATTACTGCTCCAACGATGGTCAAGGCTTCTCTCGATCGTTGGGTTGCCATCTTTGGTGCAGCCTCCACTATCACGACTGACCGCAGTGCCCAGTTTGAGTCTAACCTCTTCCAGTCTCTCCTATCCTTTTTAGGCGGTACCCGCATCCGGACGACAGCCTATCACCCGGCAGCCAACGGGATGGTCGGGCGGTTACACCGTCAGCTGAAGGCCTCCCTACGCGCCGCGGCCGATCCGGAGAACTGTACGGACCACCTTCTCCTGGTCCTCTTGGGCACGCGCTTGGCTCTCAAGCCGGACCTTGACTGTTCCGCAGCTGAACTGGTGTTTGGCGCTAACGTCCGACTGCCCGGTGAGATGATCTCTCCAACCTCACGAGGTGAAGTTGGGATCCCACCAACCTCCTGAATCACCTCCAGCAGTTTATACGGACATTTTCTCCGGTTCCGCCCAGGTTCTCCGTCTCTCCGTTTTATCTCGAAGAATTGGCAACGTGCTCTCACGTCTACCTTCGATGTGGTCGAGTTTGCCGGCCTCTGAAAGCGCCCTATGACGGCCAATTCCGGGTGCTCTCTCGTGGGATGAAAACGTTCCGCATTCAACGCGAAAATCGTGAGGTCGTGAGTGCGGACCGCCCCAAAGCTGCCGTCCCGGACACTACTCTGGATGAGCCCTGTGATCGCCTACCTTCTGCTGCCCCGCCTCCAGCCTATACCCCAACGTCCTGAATTTCCCCTCGTCCCTCCTGTCCGCCACCAACCGCCATCTCTGACTCCAACACTTTCGCCACAGGACGCATTCACTCTTCTACGGACCCTGTATATATCACTCGCAGTGGTCGTCACGTACACTTTCCTGATCGGTTGGTCACTAATTTCTTTTAAACTTGTACACATCCTTCGGCGTCGTTTCCGCCACTGTCCGGTCTCGGAGAGGGAGGGATACTGTGCCGAGGCGCCAGGTTACCTTGCCTTTACCTACCTGTTTATCATTCTTGAACTTCCTGTACGAGTCTGAAAGCTCAGGATAATAAACGAATTGTTCCGGTGCTCGATTCTTCTTCTTCTTCTTCAAACATTTGATTATTAATTATTTCATAACTCCTGTCCTATCCTGATGTCCATAGCCTGGGATTGGCAGTCGCAGCAACTCAATTACTACGCCTCTTTCCGATTGATTTTCGATATTCTTACAAATTTAAAAATACTTTTTAGAAGACTATACAAAATCCGTGTACTCATTTTCTGGAAATGTGTGCCTTCTTCAGGATTTGTTATCGAAGGGTATCTTCCCTTTGTTAAAAGTTTTTAATTATGAGATTTTGTAAGGCCGTGTAATGTCTATTCGAATAACATCGCATCCGTCTGTTTAATAATGCTCCTCATAAAGTATACGATAGAGTCCACGCCCGCCGCCAAATTCTATGACCCCCTCATGGTGTCGTACTGCTGCATATGAATGCATGTTTCTCTTTACACGAAAGGTATAGGGCTCGTAGACCGAGAATTCTGAATGCAAATGCAACTGCAGATCGGCCTCAGAACCATCAAGGAACTTAAGAAACCTAGAAAATCGAGTGACACCTTTTCTTCGTGTATGAGATCCGGAGACATGATTTGCTACCGAGTACAAGAATATTCTTGTGCATGTTCTCTGCAAAATATAGGGGTGCAAGGGTGTTCAGCTGCGGGTCCACGTGACGGTCGTAGTAGGTCGCTCGCTTGCTTATGGGGATAAAGTACGCCTAGCGTCCATTTGTTGGTATCCAACTCTCATATGTGGCTCCCCGAAGCTAGGCTCTGCCTGGCGGCCACACCCTGGTAACTTCCCCGACCGGCGGGCCAAACTAGATGGAGATATCTGCGTGTGCATCTCCGCACACGGTAATCACGGCTCCGCTGGCCGGATGGACCACTGCATCGGCATCTCCGGGATCAGGCTCCGTCTGGAATACCGTAGGAGGCCACAAGGTAAGTGAGCCTCCAGGTAAGCTTATATTGCTTTGCTGCCTTCGCTTTCGCTTGTTCTTGTTTGCTTACTCTCTGTCTGCTTGTTTGTGTCTGTCCTTGTTGAAAGCTAAATGCCGCTCTGTTTCTTCCTTTGTCGCCTTTGCCTTCTGCTGTTCTTGCTTGCTTGTTCGTGTCCGTCCTTACTGTAAGCTAAGTCAAGTTCTGTTACATCTGTCTACTGACCGTTTATATTTCAGCAATCAGTTAGCTCAGAGCGGGACGGGAAAAGCTATGCTTCCCGTCTCTCTACCCTTCCCCCATCCCCCGCCCCTCCCCCTTCAAAAAGTCCAACAGCTAGAGAGACAACGATCACGTAGACGGCCCAGGCTAACTCGGGTATATCTCCTTCTAAACAAGGTCGTGGCCCACAGTGGAGTCCGGTAGCCGTCTGGGAAAACAGAACAGCCCTATTTAGGGAGAGCACTCATCCTCCCGCGAGGAGGAAGGGGTTATAAAAGGTGCCCTAAACAAATGTTGGGGACTCACACCGTGGGCAGGCTGATCGTGGCCCCAGACGTTAAACACACGTTCGAAACAACAAAACAAGAATCAACCCTCTCTTTTCTCCGTCCTTCACCTCGCCACCCCACTTGCCAGACTGGTAGGGCAAGCCCGCTTACCCCGGCAGCCTGGAATGTTCGCTCGCTTTTAGACAACCCGCGGAGAAGGCCACCTGGATGTACCTTCGGTCGCGACATTGGCACCTGTTGGACTTCGTCCTCGTCCGGAGGCGAGACCAGCGGGACGTGCTGGTGACAAAGGCGATTCCATATGCTGACGGGTGGACCGAACATCGCCTCGTCATCTCGAAGATGCGGATTCGCCTACAGCCTCGCAGGAAACCTCAAGGTAGGCGACACCCAGGTACACGGACGGAAACGAATGGAAAAATCTCTCCGCGATCAAGGCTGTCTACGGTTCCACAGCCAAATGTATCTCTCATCTTCTCAGCGCCGACGGAACCACCCTACTCACCGAGAAGACGCAAATCCAACAGCGACGGGAAGAGCACTTTAGAAGCGTCCTCAAACGTCCCTCCATCATCTCCGACACCGCCATCGTCCGTCTGCCGTAAGTGGAGACCAACGTCGACCTCGACCTCCGCCCTCTCTACATGAAGCCACCGAGGCGGTGCAGCAGCTCTTCAGCGGGAAAGCGTCCGGATCGGACGTGATCCCTGATGAGATCTACAGGCACGGTGGCCCCCAACTCTAGGAGATTTGGCGTCCGGGTGAAGTCCCGCAGGATTTTAAGTCAGTTGCCACAATCGTATATCTACACAAACGGAAAGGGAACCGCCAGTTCCGCAACAACTACTAAGGCATTTCTTTGCTGAACATCGCTGGGAAGATTTTCGATCGCATCCGTCCCAATCGCCTAAAGAACCATCTGGAACAGGGTCTCCTGCCAGAAAGCCAGTGCGGCTTTCGCCGTCATTGTGGAACCATAGAGATGATTTTTGCCACCCGTCAACTTCAGGATAATTGCCAGAATATGCAGACCCACCCGTGGTATACCTTCGTGGATCTGACGAAAGTCTTCTGTACTGGGAATAGAGACGGACTGTGGAAAATCATGCAGAAATTCGGCCGCCTCGAATAATTCCCTCGGGTGGTGCGTCAGCTCCACGATGGCATTATGGCGCGAGTCACGGACAATGGAGCTCTCTCAGAGGCATTCGCGGAGTGAAGCAGGGCTGCGTCCTGGTGCCTACCCTGTTCAGTCTTATGCTCTCTGACATGAGGATGGACGCTTACCGTGACGAACGTCCCCAGATCCGCGTCGCCTACAGAACGGACGGTCAACTGCTCAACCACCGGAGGGTGCAATTTCAATCACGTGTATCCACAACGACCGTACACGAACTTCTCTTCGCCGACGACTGCGCCCCCAACGCAACCTCGGAATGGGACATGCAAAGGTGCATGGATCTCTTCTCCGCCACCTGCGAGAACTTCGGCTTGGTCATCAACACGGAGAAGACGGTGGTCACGCACCAACCGCCACCCAACACTGATCGCAGTGAGCCCCAAATCGTCGTGAACGGAACCCAACTGCAAGTGGTGGACAACTTCACGTATCTGGGCAACACCCTCTCCCGCAGCAGCAAAATCGGTGATGAAGTGGCCCGCCGGATTTCAAGCCTTCGTTCGTCTTCAAAACAGTTTGGATTCGTCTCGGTCTTTAACTCTCCACGAAACCGAAGATGCACAAGGCCGTCATTCTACTGATGTAGCTGTATGGAGCGGAGACCCGGACGATGTACATGAAGCAGACACGTAGACTCAACCACTTCCACCTCAGTTGTCATCGTCGCACCCTGAGGCCGAGGAGGCAGGACCGGATCTCAGAAACGGACGTAATGGAGCGGACGAAAATCCTCAGCTTCAACGGTATGCTGAGACAACTACAATTACGCTGGAGTGGCCACCTCGTACGGATAAACGACGAGAGGCTACCCAAACTACTTTGCTATGGCGATGTCGCGACGGGTTCACGCCGACGAGGAGATCAATTCTGGCGCTACAAGGATACTCTGAAAACCCCCCTGAAGCGCTGGCAGATCAACGAGGCAAACTAGGATGACGGCCTCGGCCGCCTTCTTGCACCACTTGGAGTTGGAGTTGCACACAGACCGGAGGCCACCATGAGGCGTCAGGTGATGAGACCAAAAGACCCAATGCCACGGCAAAAAACATCTGGAGTCGTTTAGCGGATCTAGTGAAGTTGCGGACAAAGCAACTACGTCGGCGAAACTGGAAGACTGCTCCGGACGCGAATTGCCGAACACGCGGCAGCGGTACGGAGAAATGACGCCAACTTTCAGGTCGCGGCCCATTCGACGAGACCCGGCCACACATTCAAGTTCGATGAGGACGAAATTCTCGCGAGAGGGGATAATCGCGTGAGCCGCGAGCTGCTTGAGTCATGGTTCACGGGACCTTAGTCTATCAACAAGTGCAACGACATCCCCACTCCATATTCCGTGTTGAGACATAGGCTGGCTAAAGTAATTGACCACTAGGGGAGCGCGCAAGCCGGTGAGCCAGACGGCCGAGCAATCCTCACCCCAGCATCCAACACGGGTGATGAGATTTCCGCAATTAACAACTTGCACGCCAAAACCCCCACCGTCAACAGCAGTTATAAGGACCCGATTTATACCTGTACTCATTGCGATCGTACCTTCACCTCAAACATCGACCTGGTCGGTCACTTGCGAATCCATCGCACAGAGACCGGCAAACCAGTGCCCGGAGCACCAACTTACACCGACCGCATCCACCTCCACGGTCGAGACTGCACTCGCACATTCATGCACCGCATGGGCCTATTCGGCCACACGCGTATCCTGGAGAGCGGAACGGACCGCAGCCCGACACACCTAGCACATCCAGTACACCCTTCATGCCTAGCCTCGCCCACACTCCGCCGCCCAGCGCCCTCCGTTTCATCCCACCCACTACACCTTACACACCCACCATGCTCAGCCCAATCCACACGCCGTCGCCCAGCGCGCCCACCACTACCACCACCACCAGCTCCATCACTGAGGCTGATACTGACACCGCCGACTCTTTATGTCTACACTGTCCCCATACATTCCCCTCACACATCGGCCTGGTCGGTCACTTGCGAATCCATCGCACAGAGACTATCGAACCAGTGCCTGGAACACCAATCTAAACTCGTCGCATCCGCCTCCATTGTCCACATTGCCCTCGCACATGTATTCACCGCATGGGTCTATTAGGCCGCATGGGCGTCCACGAAAACCTGCGGTAGACAACCTCCGGCCAAACGACGATATCACATCTTCCCTCACCAGTATCTCACCGCAGATCAACATCATCCACCGCAAGCACCCAACTGCCACCTCCTACGCATGTGGGAAGTGTGTGTATCGGCTCCGTGTCCATGTGGCTCCCCTGCTGCATGTTTGATCGGAGTCTGATACGAAGACGGTTCGTCGAGCACCATGACTCGGAAGGCAGCCGACTGACGCCCAAATCAGTCCACGCAGTCTGCCCAGTTGTCTGTTGTGTGGAATGGCGGACTGGTGGGCTGAGAGTCAGGCTCTCACGGCCCCTTCTCAAGCGATGTGACACTCTCATGCATGCGAGGACAGTGTTTGTGTTTGTACGTGTGCTTTGCGGGTAGCACCTTTCAGTCGAAGACTGTTTGATTACTCAACCTTGAAGGGTGACGGCCCAGGCTAAAAGCAGGGCCACGTGTCGCCTGTCTGGGGCAAACGGGCTGAAAGCGTGTACTATGCCAGGATCAGCAAACCATGGCCCTCGCAGCCTGGTATGCGCTGGCAGTTCCCTGACACCTAGTTCCCTGCCGGTAGATGTGCTTGCACTCCCACTGGGTATACAGGTGGTGAGCATGACTGCCCAGTCATCATCGTCCTTCTGACCCCAGTTGGGGTGTTATTACTGTTGTTGGTTAAAATCCTTGCCAAGTGTTTGTTGTGGACGAGGGGGTTTAGTGGAACGCCTAGGTGGGGATTCGGCTGTGCCAGTCACCTGCGCCATTCCCCACCTCTGGTCTTCTAGACACTGTCGTGACACCGGGTCCAGGTGGGGAGTGGGGAAGAGAGAGTGCAATAAATGCTGCACAAGTCAACCATTACTGATAACCAATTCACGCGCAAGTCACCGTGTCTGCTGCACCTTGCTGTGTAGTATACGGTGGATATAGTCGGAGTCGACGGTCGAACTGTCGTTGCAAACTATATTTGAATTTATAAGGGCGTCGAAATTTAGAAGTAATAGGGCATGGTACTTAAGCAGTCACTTTTTGCCGAGTGCAGTTTCGCAGTCGACGGAAAAGATGTGCATTCAAAATCCAGCATGCTGGCGTGTCTGGAATAACATGGGCTTATGCCGGCAGATAAGCAACACTACAATCACACGTAGGTAACCCTTCCTAGTTAAAAACGCATCTGAGAATTTCGGATAACAGTTCATGAGATCGGTCTCTGGCTGCGCGTAATAGCTTCCCAATGGACGATGACCACTGAAGCACCTCAGGAGGTACACAGCATGGGTAACGTCGCCTCCGTCCTACTAGGATGTAGTGACCATAGACTTGAGTGGCACTTGGCGATACCATGTTGGGTCATGAAACGGGCTGGAGCATTACGTTGAAGGACACTTGAACCAAGCTGCGTACCCGTAGCCGTATGGTGAACGTCCTGTGGGCCTTCCTCAAGTGCTCCTTTCCACCTCATGAAATATGTCCGATCACAGTATTACGACCCATGCTACGGTGCCCGCTGGAACCGACCCACTCTGCAACCCTGGTCCAGTGGTTCAGGTGAATAATATGCGAACTGGACTACTCAGTCGGGGAAGGACACTTGGTACTGGATACTGGGATGTGCGAACGTTCCTGGACTACGGTATCCAAAGTCCGGCCGCGCGCAGCCTTAAACAGCACAACATGGATATCTGCTGTCTGTCGGATGTTTGACTCCCTGACTCAGGCTCTCGAGAAATAAAGATCCCTGGAGTCGAATCACACTTCACCCTGTACCACAGCGGCCCACGTGACTCTTCTGGTAGACACGGTGTGGCTATCGCCCTCTCACAACAAGCGGACCTCGCGTTACTTGCTTGGGAACCAGTCAATGACCAGATGGCTCATGTGCGAGTGAAGGGTCACTTCACGAACATCTCCATCATCTCTGTGCGCGCACCAACTTCGGCTGCCGAACAGGGCGATAAAGAGGCATTTTACTCACAATTTCGGACGTTAGTTGAACGACTCCCTCGCCAGGGACTGGAATGGTCGGAATGGGCCTGGCAACTCCATAAACAGTCATCTTCTTGGCATCTTTGGGCTTGGTCCCCGATGTGAAAATGACGAGACATTGCTGAACTTCGCTGATCAGAACCGACTGCTTGTCACCAACACGTGTTTCCAGCATCGCAAGAAACATTTGCTGATCTGGTATTCAAACGACGGTCATACGGCCAGTCAGATTAAGTACATACTAGTCAGCTCAAGGTTCCGCAGCTGGGTTCACGGTAGCAGATCGATGCGTGGTGACGTGACTGGTAACGCTCATCGGTCGGACCCTGTCCTCGTTCGTACACGCTTGAAAGTTCACCTTTCGCCCACGTCAAAAATGTCACCTCCTAGGCGCCTCGATGTCGCAAAAATCCAGCAAGCCAGCACTGCTGAGGCCCTGAGCAGGGAAATCCCGTCCCGTTTCACGACCCGAGCCGACGGAGAAGGCAGTAACCAGTGGTCGTCACTGAAAACGTCCGTCTATGGCACAGCCGAGAAAATCCTTGGATATACCCAGCGACGCGGCAGTGACTGAATCAGCGGAAGAACCCTGCAGTTGTCTGCTCAGACGGCTCGAGCCAGGTCTCGTAATGATTGGTTCCACCAACTCCGAAAGATGACGGCAAATTCGGCCAGAGATGACCAGATGTAATATTGGGCTGAAATAGCGACCTCCATGGAACAGGCCTCGAACGTTGGTGACACTCAAAAACTCTACCAACTTATCCGCCAAGTTAGTTGTAGGCCCTCTACACTGAGTAACTTTATTCGCGGAGTGAATGGCGGCCTTATTGCTGACAACTCGGCCAAAGCCGAGCGCTGTCGTGAGCACTTCGAACACCATCTCAACTCCGATACCCAACCCACCTCGTCCTCGCTCTCCTTTGCAGCGGAGTTTCTTCCCCTTCCAACCTTTGCAGTGTCATGCGGCACCCCTTCTGAGGGAGAGGTCCCCGATGCTACGCAACAAGGCACCCGGAGAGGACGGCATACCCGCCGAAATCTACAAGTCTTGTGTCGACTCACTGACGTCCCGGCTCCATGAGGTGAATGAACAAGCGTGGAGAAACGAGGTTGCTCCTGATGACTGGGGCTTAGGCAGCCTTGTACCTATCCCCAAGAAGGGAGGTAAGATGAGATGCGGGAACTACCGCGGCATAAGCCTCATCGACGTTGCTGCGAAGATCTTCGCTATTGTCCTACTCAGGCGATTCCAGGCCGTGCGTGACTCTAGGACGAGGCCAAGCCAAGCTGGATTTCGTGCCGGACGTGGATGCGCGGACCAGGTATTCACACTAAAGCATTCTCGAATTTCGCCATTGCTACCAGCAACCGACGGCCGTCTGCTTTGTTGACTTTGCCATCGCGTCCGACTCCGTCCATCGTGAGTCCCTAAGGCGGATAATGGCGCTGGATGGTGTACCACCAAAAATCAACCATGATCCAAGGCCTATTATCGCTCTCTACTACTGCGCGAGTCCTGGTCCGCAACAATCCTTCCCAGCCGTTTGGTATTCGGTCTGGCGTTCTACAGAGTCGTATCCTGTCGCCCATTCTGTTCAATTACGTTATTGACTGGATTCTCGGGAAGGCTCTACGCGAAGGTGGCGGTGTTGAATTTGCACCCGGACACCGACTGACTGATCTTGACTATGCAGAGGATATTGCCTTACTTGCCTCAAGTTTTGGTGATCTGAAGTCTATGATATCACGGGTGAACGAAGTCGCTAAATTGGTCGGTTAATCCATAAAAGCTGGGAAGACTAGTGTTTTCAAGCTGCTTTACTGACCAGGAGAAGGCGTCTCTCTGGATTGATGGCTGTCAACTTGAAGTAGACAGTTTTAAATACCTTGGGGCGAGGCTGCTGTCGAATGGCCAGAGTAAGGACGACATTGTCTGCCGAATCGATGCTGCCTGCTGGGTTTTCTCGAGCCTTAGAAAGTGCCTATGGATCCGACGCGACCTCTCCATCGCCACTAAGATTCGCGTGTACCGTGCATCTGTCCGGTCTGTCCTTCTCTACGGTTGTGAATGCTGGGCTTTGCGCGTGGAGGACGAGCGAAAACTGGAGGTGTTTGACCACCACTGCTTGAGCACCATCCTTCGTGTGAAGTTCACCGACTTTGTCTCAAATGAGACAGTCCGCGTTCGCTGCGACAACATCGCAAGGATAACTCAGGCCATCCAAGAAAGACGACTGAAGTGGTTCAGGCATGTTCTTCGTCGTCCGCCTCAGGAGCTCAGTGTTACTGCCCTCGATCCGGTGCCGCTGTCCACCTGGAGGCGTCGAGGAGGGGGTCAACTCAAAACTCGGCTCGACACAGTTCAAGACATGGAGGTGGTTCTTAGACCTTCGGTATTCGCTGGCGAAGAGAATAGGTTAAACTGTCCAGATCTGGTGCTGCGGATCGTGGAGAGGTACAGTTCGGGACATCATCGAGGCCAACTAAATCAGGCATGATCGCAACCGTACCAATCAACTAACTTAAGCTGACAAGAGTAAGGGATCAATTCAATTACTTATGCCACGATGCCTACCATACTATTCGACAGTTAGGCGAAAATTACAACTTGGTTGTTGTGCATACGAATCCCCACGCGCCCCTTATGAATGTGATATCGCGCCGACCTCCATAGTTGCCTCGTCGAATTTACTCTCCGAGACTCAGGTGCTTACTTCTTGCCTACTCCGTTCCGATGCTTCTGAATGTGAAGACGATTCGCAGAGTTCGCCCGGCAGAAGACTTATTAACCAATTTGACCGGTGATGCTTCTAAAGCAGCTCTAGGTCATTCCGCAATGTCTCCACCTCTTCAGAAGACCAGGCGATCCTGACCACAATCCAAATAAGTTCGTGAAGCTTTTAAGTCGACTAGCACTCCGCTTCCCCTCATGGCCCAGTCAAAAACCTATTCGTCCTCTTACCGAATATGGATTGGGCAAGCAAACGAACTGGGACCGTCAGAGTTGTGTGTTCCTTTTACTGAAAGCCAGAATAGGCATAAGTTGACAAATGATAAACACGGCTAAATACAGCAACGCGAAATGGATGGTGGCCCGGGGCTGTAGTCAAGCGCCGAAGCCCTAATGACGGTTACTCTCGTCCAAGCTTGTTTCAGCTCTTAGGAGGGATGTCCAGGCCGAACTACTGTGTGCGTCAGGGAAGGGTAATCCCAGGACCGGTAATGAATACATGAATCGCACACATTACCAAAAGCATACCAAACCCTCTCACGGAGATAACACTCACATATGTGAGGCCAGCAAGACTAGGATCTGGGAACCTGAGACGTGCGCTAGAGCAACCACGGTCCCCAGATGCTTGTGGCTGACAAAATAACAACCAACAGAATCGACTACCCAAAGGCGGCTGTTTGCGTCAGACCAAATTGAGGTCGCAAGAGCTATTATCGCGGGTTGAAAACTAAGGCTTACGGCATAATGGAGCAAGGTTCTTCCCGAGCAAGTATACCTACCGAGAAAGATTCGCCAGGAAAAACGAAGGCGAGATACTATTACTACCCCGATAGTCCACCGAGTTCATTTGCTATGCTCGATGCACGTAAGAGCGATTGGGAAGCAAAATTTGACGCTTACTCGGTCTGGGAGGAAGCATACGCACCTGCGCGACTCCAGGTTATGCGGGTCTAGTATTTGGACCATGTTGTGAAATCAGTGCAGGGCCCTGCGAGCACTTGACACCCAGACAACTGTCGCTTATGGGAACTGGTGGTGAATCACCAGTTGGCGACTGCTCGCGACAACCACGCAATTAAGTGCGGATCATGTCTCCGCCTTCACATAGAAGGCGGTCCGGACAATAGAGCGACACCAAATTTACGAGGGTCATTTTTGGCTGAAGCCAAGTGCTAAAATTGAGTGACTACCAACGGTCCAACATCTACTCTTTGAAAAGTCCTCGGAGAATAGAGGCAGGATACAAATCTACGTCAATCGAGGCGTGCTTTTGCGAACACAAGGAACTGTGAACAACAGCGGGAAGTTCAGCCATCTGACCCTCAGCAGCCAATACGACCTCGGTGAACTCGTCGCTAGAAACTAACGTTTATAAGGCCGTCAAGGAAACGAGCTCATTCAATGACCAGCTCTGTCAAGTACGACGTCCTCCGCATTTGTACATCATTGGGAATGCTTAGTGTCAATCCTAGAGCAAATCACCCAACGCAGGCGGGAGTAGCCGTAAGGCTTGAGGTCTCAGAAGACATTCGGTTCCTCAGACTTTACAAACGACAGGCTAGTAGGCAAATGGGCGAAAGAATCAACATGCATCAAGTAAGTGACATTTATTAGAAGACAAAAGCGACCTCAAACACTTCAAAAATTAGGTGGATTTACGCTGTACAGTTCGCAGCGATGTGTCCAGGTTCATTGCACTTGTAACACACGTTATCTGGGCAATTGCTCGCAATATGGCCAACGGCCTGGCACCTACAATGTCATTAGACGCTAGGAGTGAGTCAATTACCTGTAGCAAGTTCTGTTGTCCCCACTCCCTCCACGGTAACCGGCACGTCCGCCGCTTTGGGGGCAGTCGCGAGCAAGGTGACCCTCCTCACCGCAATTAAAGCAGCCGCGACCACCAGAAGAGTATCCGCTTCTTCCGTCTCCACCACCCCGGCGGCCGCCGGCCTGCGGGCACTCACGAGCGATGTGACCCTCTTCGCCACAGTTGTAGCAGCCACCGCTGGCTCGTGGACACTCACGGGCGATGTGGCCCCCTTCACCGCAGTTGTAGCAGCCGCCACCTAGGGGACAAGAAGTAACGTTAGCTCAGGTAGAGAAAAACTACGTCGAGCACACAACCCCTGTCCAGCATTTTACCTGCTTAAGGCCATGCTCGTAGCAGCCAAATCCGGAACGCAAAAACAGCAGCTAAGCTGCTAGATCAGAACGGTCCAGACCTGGCGCGCCAAGAAACAACGCAACTCATACCAAGCCTTAGGTGCAACGACTCGAGAGGCTTATTACTCTTACCACGGGAGCCACCACCGTAGCCACCTCGACCACGGCCGCCTCCGCGACCACCCTGGGGACATTCACGCGCAAAATGCCCCTCCTCCCCACACCTGAAACACGTCGACGAACGTTCACTCATCCCCGTGACACCTCACGCGCGGAAACCGACGACACGCCACGAGCGCACACTCCCGAGAGTGAGCAGCTGCCAGTGGTACGTTAAAACAAAAGACCCACTAAGTGTCATTTTTCCCGGTTTCCAAGTCAAACTAACAATCCAGTGGTCTGTCTTTCGTTATTTAACGTTTTTAGTTGAAGTCATTTACTTCAGTGGGCTTCGCCCATCCTAAAGTGGTGAACAACCCCGTAGAACCGTTAAAAATATATAAAAGCACGAGAGTTGTTTCCGCTGTACTATTAATGTTGGATGCTTCTTCATCATTTGGTCTTTAATCTTCTTTGACACGGTGTCGCCACTGTGATACACTTTTGCCTTCTTAATGTGTTTTAGTCTGACTTATTGTAACCCCCATATTTTGTCGTCGTATTATCCCTGCCATTGTCCGCTGCGTTATTTAATTAGCATTCGTTTCGTTTTTGTTACTTACAACTGAAACGCCTCCTTGATTTTTCAACTGAAAATACGAGTGGCTCAGTTTGTATACCTACCCGCACACATTCTACAGATGATTCTTTGGAAACAAACAACCAACGAGAAAAAAGATAACAGCCTCGCTAATTAAAGCATTAGCATGTCTCACCGAAAATTTATTCATGACTTTAAATCTTAGAATAGTGAATTATTCGGTATTTCTGTTTCCTAAAAAATGGCAAATAACGGAAAAGCGAAATACTGAATGGCAGAACAGCGGAAGAAATACCAGAAGGGAAGGAGGAAAAGTGTGCCAGGCGTTCGTGGAGGAAAATAAGGCCATCAAGAATGACATTGACGGCAAATAACGTTGAATATAGAACAACCAGCAAAACGAAATATCTGCAAATGTATCTGGGTCAGGCGATGATGCGGGGGACATATTTTAAGTCAGTCTATTAAGGAAACGAGGCCCATGTTCAAGAAGGGAAATCAGACTAAGTATGAGGGCTGTCGAAACATAAGTGTCGTTGATGTGACAGTGATTATTTGCAGTGTTATTGTCCGATAATTTCATTGGCATGACTCGCAAACTAGACCCATCCAAACCGAGTTCTGAGCTAGGTGTGGATGCACTGACCGGGTATTCACACTCTAGTCCATTCTTAATTTCTGCCATGACAGTCAGTAACCGACGGCCGTCTGCTTCGTTGACTCCGAAGCAGCGTTAGATTCCGTCCATAGTAGGAACCTATGGCGGACAAGGAAAACAGTCGTCGCCATGGTCAATGCCTACTATCCTTCAACTACTGTAGGAATTCGAGTTCATAATAATATGTCCCTACCGTCCGATAGTAGGTCTGCATTCTGGTAAGTCTCTGTCCTGACTGGATTACCAGATGGGTTCCACACGGTATTTACAGTATCCCATGTGTGCTCGGACTCCTGCTGACTGACCTCTACTACGCTGAGGCCAGCGCCTTGATGATTTCAAACCCCGATATCCTACAGACCGGGGTGTCGCGGCTGAAGGAGTTCGCTAACCCACTAGGTTTATCCGAAAATTCTGGCAAAACTACAGCATTTTCGGAGTGTGTCCTTGACCAGGAAAAGGCATCCGTTGGGAATGGTAGCCGTCAAGTTGAAGAAATGAGCAAATCCGCTGTTGAATGGACAGGATAGGGACGACATCGTCTTATGGCATCATCGTTATTTACAACGTTCCGGGGACCGTTGTGGTTTGTTAGCGTATTTCGAGCATACCCGGTCAGGTGTGAATTTAAATAAGAAATTGAGACTATTTCAGAGTCTCGTGATCCAGAGTGGTCTAAGACTGTACTGTACAATTGCGTGTAAGCTATGGAGTCCAAATATATAGTCAAGCGTCTCTGAATGCCTTCTAGTTACTTTCTTCAAACAAACTCCCAATTCGCGCATCGTTTGTTAGATAGAAACCCAGAGTGAATAAATTCACTGTGCAACTGGAATGGGTAAGTTCATGTTGGTTTTTCTTCCTGTGTTCTAAGGAGACAGGCAGCGCCCAATGACAGTTCGACCATCGATTTCGATAATGTCCTCCGTATGCCCCACAGCATTATGGGAGCAGGGATGGTGACTTACGCAGGGGTTTATAATGCCAGTAGACTTGCGCTGCATCTACCTACACTCTCTCCTCTTCCCCCGCCTGAGCCCGGCGTCAAGACAGAATCAAGAAGACCGGAGACGAGAGAGGCCGCAGGTGGATGGCTCGGACGGATCCTCACCTTGGCGTTCCACCACACCCCCTGGTCCACACAACAAATGACCAGGATTTTAACCAGCACAACAGAGACTGGAGGTTGGCACGACCGAAGCCGCACCTGGGCGTGCCGCCGACGCCTGGCTCGGATCCCACACTGTGGTGGCAGTGCCATAAAGGCCACATTAAAAAGGAGCCATTGCAGCCTGACTCTCAGACTGCCTGCAGTCAAGGAGGAGGTCCATGTTACCCCGTCAGTTGGCAACCTTCCAAGCCACGGCTTTTAGCGCACCGTGATGGCTTCAAGCGCGTCAGATTGTTTATAGTGAGGAGAAAGTGCGCTGAGTCGTCGACCTCACTCTCCCTTCCCACTCCCACACCCCAGCCGCTGTCCGAGCCGGTCAGCAGACTGGAGTGGGAAATGGGCGCGGTGGCTGTCATGGTCGACTGACCATAACTGCGCGCGCCACAGCACGACCTGGTCTCCCATACACACACAAACACCAGTATTTCACACAACGGGGGTTGAGCGGCTTGTCTCTCACTTGCGTGAGAGGGCCGTGGAAGGTGCTGTTTCAGCTCGTCCGAGCCAACCAGTCCGCCACTCCACGCAACACACACACACACGACAGTTCGTCCGTCGGTTTCGACGATGACCACCGTGTGCCCCACATACTGCATTGTGGGAGCAGGGACGGTGACTTGCGCAGGGGTTTATAGTGCCGGTAGACTTGCGCTGCATCTACCTACACTCTCTCCTCCTCCCCCGCCTGGGCCCGGTGTCAAGACCAAGTCAAGAAGACCGGAGACGAGGGAGGCCGCAGGTGGATGGCTCGGACGGGTCTTCGCCTTGGCGCTCCACTCCGCACCCCTGGTCCACACACCAAGACCAGGATTTTGACCACAAAACAATGGGGTGGAGGCAGTGGTCCAGTTGTGCGACGAATGCCGACAGCAGGGTCCGCCAGCGCGCCCCGCAAATGTTGGCATTTGTTATTACGCAAAGATAACGCCTGCCAGAGTCCGATGTGGCCCCCGTGTTGGTCCAGCGCATCGAACACGTGGCCCGTTTAGAGGGCACACACACACACACACACACACAACGCGACGAACTGCGTGAACCGAGAGCAGGCGTCAACCAGCAACCTCCCTATCCACGACGCTTGACGTGTCGGAAGTGCATTGAAGTACATGGAAACTTAATTAACTATGTGACCTCCTGTGCCGGCTCTAGATCCAATACGCCAAGACTAGACGGGACGCCTGTGCTCCATCCTATAGGCAGGATAGATCGTCAACTGTCACCCCCGTGACTCTGTCAGCTTCGTTTTTGCCCTGGGTATAGACAAAACGGAAGAATAGGTTGTTCGATTGTTCGTTTTAGGGACAGTTACAAAGCAAACGTACTTGCTCTCCTCTTTGGAGTGGCCGTAGATGAACTACTGTGTAACGGACTGCCTGGCTTCACGCAGTGTACTGGGGTGTTGTGGCCGGTGGTCCACATTTCATCCGACGATTTGGCAGACCCCGTGTGCGCAGTGCTGTTCTCCTCAATTTTTGTCAGGTCAAACGGTTTAAAGTCTTCGGCTAAATCTGTAGTAGCAAACGGCCTGAAGAACGGATCCCAGATGGCGGAATTGGGAAGGCGAGCCTCGGTTCCCAACTCCTCAATAAAGCTATATAAGCAGACCATATTGGGCAGGCCTATTGGGCAGCGCCCAATAGGTGTTATAATAAACCCATTTTATTATATTTTATTCTATTCTCTCAAATGGATGCTGTTCGCGGAGTTTCCACAGTCCTTAGAATGTGTGAATGGAGTTGATGAGATGTCATAATCGTTATAAAGATTTGCGTATACCGGACGTTTATCTGGTCAGTCATCCTATATGATTGTAAATGTTGAGCTGTACGCGCGAAAGACGAGCAAGGACTGAAGATGATTAACTGTCGTTGGCTGAGCAGCATCTTTATGGTGGAGTACACTGATCCTGTCTCGAATGAAACAGATTACACTTTCTCCAACGACATTATTAGGATATCTCAGACCATCCAATAAAGACGGCTGAGGGGGGGTTGAATACATTCTTCGGCGTTTTAATCACGAATTTAGTGTTCCTGCGCACGATGATGCGTCGCTGCCCAGTTAGGGACGCGGAATTGTGTGTGTGTGTGTGTGTGTGTGTGTGTGCTCGCATCCCCGAAGGCCTTTGGTAGACAACCGCCGGCTGCAATACACCATCATACCCTCTCTCACCACCAAATCACCACACATCAACAACCACCCTCCATAAACAACCAACTGCCATCTCTCATGCAAGGGGAAGTGTGCATGTCGTAAATGGTAATGTTCTCATGAACTAACGAGTTATATTTCACGAGCCCTTAGCCTTGAAGGCAGCAAGTAAAACTGAGCAGTGAATAATACAGAGATTTTTAAGGTTAAGAAACCTGACAACATAGCACGACAGCGGAGCACGATAGCAAGGCGGGTTGTACAGGTGTGTTGTTTTCCGTCACATCCAAACAAGCCATCCGAGCAAAGAACACAGGAGTAAATTGTCGAAGATAAATTAGTCTGGTACCTCACCACAGTACCTCCTACTAGACCGGAGTGCGACGTAATACGGCACCGGATGATATGCATAAGTCTGGAAAAAATGTGTAACTACACGATCCAGGAAATGAACGTGACGGCCACTGCGAGTGATGTAAACAGGAGGTACAGTCTAAGAGGGCTGACTGCGTGCTATGGTGGAGGATGATTTTGCAGCTGGATGCTGTAGATAAGTACGGAGAGGAAGTATGCGGGACGGAGGGATAGAGGGCAAGGGGGAAGAAGGGAGAGGCAGTGGGCAGGGTGAATTAGCAGGGGATAGGGAAGATGGACGAACAGGGGTTAGGAGGTCAGCACAATTTTGTCCTTGTGACAGGTCCGGCGGCTCCTCTGCAACAGCAGCCTTGACCCGATCGACACTGACCACGTCCTCCTTGTCACCGCGAAGAATCCGACAGGTCTTTGCGTTGCGCGCGAGCACGCGGAACGGTCCTTCGTATGGTGATTCCAGCGACTGACGAACACATGAGTACACTTGTCCAAGTCTTTTTCGACTTAAGACTCAGTCATTGGAGCTCGAGGTGGAACCGGGGAAAGCGAGTGCATAAATTGCCGCAAACGGTGCACAAGGTTGTCATGAGTCTCGTAGGCCCCACGAGAGGTTAAGGTGATCATCTCGCCTGGCAGTCGGAGGGTAGTGCCCAAAAACCATTTCAGCTGCACTACAGCCAGATCCGACTTCAGAGCTACGCGAATGCCGAGGAGTGCAAGAGGAAGGTTGTCCGGCCAGTTTCCTGGGTCTTCTACGACACACAGGGCAGTCTTTAGCTGGCGATGGAAGCGCTCAAACATACCGTTGGCAGCTGGGTAGTAAGCTGTTGTCCGAATGCGCGTGCAGCCAAGGAAACTGAGTAGCGTTTGGAAGAGTGCCGACTCAAAATGGGCACCACGATCAGTCGTAACCGTGGATGGGGTACCGAACATGGCGACCCAACGACTGACGAAGGCCTTCACGATGGTTTCAGCCTGAACATTCGGCAAAGGAATAGCTTCAGCCCAGTGGGTATATCGATCGACTCAGTTATGGAGGTGGGTGAAACCACTGGATGGAGGCAAGGGGCCTACGACATCCAGGTGCGCATTGCTGAACCGTGCGTCGGGACTGAGAAAGTGCCTGGTGTGGACTTGTTGTGACGCAGCACCTTGTTGCGCTGGCAGCTCAGACACGACCGGGCCCAAGCTTTGACGTCCTTGTTCATGTGGAGTTTTTTTTTAACCCCTCGCTTATCATTTTTCGTAACGGACTTCTAATTCAAAAACTATGTATAGCACTTTGTACAGATTTAGCCTACCTCGTCTAAAATTCACATGAAAATTTATGTTTACTTGTTTTGATGGGAACCCGACGGGTCTTTAATAAAAATAATAATGATAATTATTACTAGACAAACCGCGAGGAGCTTTTGAGCAACTCGGATCCCAGGGTGGGAGGGTCCATGCAAAGTCTGAAATACAGCTCGACGCATCGAGGCAGGCACGAAAGGGTGATGAAAGGGAGTTGAGACGTCACAAAGTATGGTACTAGAGCCGGCGGTCAGAGGAACGTCTCTGAGTTGGAGACCACTGACACACTCGTCACCAGGACAACAAACTCGCTGTTTCTCAGCCGCCATGGCGCATAGATCGATCCCGTGTGACAGTTGGAGGGAAGACAGTGAGGGTTTGGACAGCAAATCAGCCATCTCATTCTTCGTGCCATCAATGTGACGGGTGCCGGGAGTGAATTGGGAGATGTAGTCCAGGTGGGCGATTTCCCTCGGATTATACTTGTCGGAGTGGGACCGAGGTGCAAAAGTCAACGGTTTGTGGTCAGTGAAAACAGTGAAGTCCCGATCTTCCAGGTAATGCCGGAAATGCTTCACAGTCAGGTGAATGGCAAGTAGTTCACGGCCAAAGGTACCGTAGCGTGTCTCAGCTGGTAAGAACTTTGGGGAGAAAAAGGCAAGTGGTCGAGTCGAACCAGCAAGGTGTTGTTGAAGGACTGCACCTACGGCTACGTTCGAAGCATCTACTATCAGAGACAGCTGAGCTTCGGGAGCGGGATGCGTGAGTAAGGGGATATCGGCGAGGGAATTCCTGATTCTCTCAACAGCAGTCAGGGCTTCATCAGTCAGCTCGAGGGGACCTTTGGGACCAGAAAGCATGTTGGTGAGTGGCAACATGAGGTCAGCACAGTTCGGTAGGAACCGGCGGTAAAAATTGACGATGCCGAGGAATCGCTGTAACTGACGCTTGGAAGTTGGTGGAGGGAAATTACGAACTGCTTCAACCTTGGAGTGGAGGGAGCGCAAACCTTCAGAGTCGACCTGGTAGCCGACGAACTCGATTGAAGGCACACCCAACACGCACTTGGAGGGGTTGATGACAACGCCAAACTTGTCAAGGCGGTCAAACACCAAGGCAAGTTGCTCTTTGTGTTCTTCTTCATTTCGGCTGGCAACCAAGAGGTCATAAATGTAGGCGTACACAAAGGGTAGGCCACGTAAGACATGGTCGGCATTACGACAACTGAATGGCATGCGGACGAAATCAAAGAGACCGAAGGGTGTGGTGATGGCGGTTTTATGGATGTCCTCAGAGGCGACTGGAATCTGATGAAAAGCACGCACCAGATCAATCTTCGAGAAAACTGCTTTGCCGAAAAGGGCTCCAGCGAAGTCCTGAAGATGAGGCACGGGGTACCGATCAGGAAAGAAGGCGCTGTTGAGGGCTCGATAGTCGCCACAGGGTCTCCAGCCGCCTGAAGTCGCCTTGGGCATCATGTGCAGTGGGGACGCCCAAGGGCTCTCGGACGGTCAAATTATTCCCAGTTGCAGCATGTGTTCAAACCCCGCCTTCGCGGCCTGAAATCGTTCCTGTGCTAGTCGTCTCGATCGAGCAAACACGGGAGGACCTGAGGTGCGAATATGGTGCACAACGTCTTGTTGAAACTCACCACTGCGGAACCGGGGGTTAATTATGTTGGGGTGACTAAGAAGCAGTTGCCGAAAGGGGCTAGTAATATCCGTATCCAAGACAGATAAGTTGGTGGGGGCAGTAAAGGGAGTTAGTCCACGAACAAATAGACCGGTTGTGCGGTCGAGGAGACCGGCACGTCGGCAGTCAACGAGGAGATCGAACTCGGCAAGAAAGTCCGAGCCGAGGATTGCATGAGGGACATCAGCAATCACAAAGATCCAAGTGAATGTACAACGAAGGCCATTGTTAAGAGTGAGGGACAGACTGCCAAAAGTGAGAATGGGGGAACAGTTGGCAGCTTGAAGGTGAAGACCAGGGCTAGGGAAACGACAATCAGCTGCAGTTGGGGGAACAACGCTAATTTGGGCTCCAGTGTCCATCAGGAAACGTCTGCGAGTCGCAGTGTCGCAAACACAGTAGGTGCGACCAGAGACGGAAGAGCCAGAGAAAACGGTCGCATCTATTCTCTGGCTGACTGGTTTCCCTGCTTCGGCTTAAAAGAGCAGGGTTAGGAAAAGCGACGGGCCTTCACGCCGAAATTAGTGTGATACCAGCAAGTATCGGCAGTCCGAGGTCGCGAACGAGAACGACGATGGCTGCATGAACGACTGGAAGTAAGGCGGCCGAGCTGTATTTAAAGGGAGGCAATCTCATCCGCCATGGCCGACACCTGTTCCATTAAATATTCATTCACTGACGATGAGGATGAGGAGATCTGGGCAACGGAAGGAGACTGGAACCGCTGCACCTCTATCATTCAATCCGCCTGCTTAGCCAGCTGTGAGATCGTAAAACCTAGAGAACCGGACGCAAGGATCGTTTAAACATCTGCAGACAGACTCTCTAGAAACATCTCATTGACGAATTTATCGTCAACTAGCATGTCCGCATGGAAAGAACATATTCGACGTAGAAAGAGTAGCGGATCCAGAAACGTACCGTGAAGTACGCCACTCGTGATCGAGTGAGGTGTCGAGTAGCGTTTATTAAACCAAAGAAAGCACAGCAGTACTCGAGGACTGGAAGAACAAACATTTGATAAAGTCTTAGCTTCATTTCCGGAAGGAAAAAATTATGCGATATGAACCCACATGTCTGCGCGGCTTTGGCAGAGATACTAGGTGCATGGGGTGATAAAGCAAGTTTATTTGTATAACTTCAACCTAGGTCCTTTATGGTGAAGTATTCTGAAAGTAGGTTATTCTGAAAAATTATGGAACCAGGAAGTTTGGCAGGACCAAAAGACACGAAACTACAATTGGATGATGAAACCTCCATCTGCCATGTTGTAAGCCATCTGTTTAAGCGCAGGGAATCAGCATTAAGTTTTTCAACACAAACGTTTGCGGTGTCCTTAGAATATGAGTAAACACACTTGTGGTCATCGGCATAAATAAAATTTTACGAATTTCTGATTTTGGTCTTAATATCATTGGTGTAAAGATGGAAGAGTAGCGGACCCAGAACCGTACCCTGAAGTACGCCATACATGATCGAGTGAGGTGTCGAGTACCTATCACCGACCGTGACTTTCTGATATCGCTTGAACAGGCGGGACCTGGTAAAGTCGAGTGGAGGCAGCCGGATGCCGAGAGCTTCCAAATTTACCAAAAGACGCCTATAGAGCCTCATGTCGAAGGGTTTACTAAGATCAAAGTAGATAACTACCACTGACTGCTGCTCATTACGAAGAGAAGTGATTAGATTAAGAAATGCCAATTGACAAGTTTCGCAGGATCGTTCAGGTAAAACTTCATGTTTATTAGAGCTCAGAAGCCGGTTAGCTGGACATAAGTCGAGAATTTCATTGAAAATTATCCTTTCAAGAAGCTTTGCTAGAGACGGCGTTTTGTGCACGCCCCCATAGTTATTAACATCGGACCGAGATCCTGACTTGAAGACGGGAATGATAATGGACATTTTCCGTGTTTCAGGAAAGAATCCTTTTGAAATATAAAGTGAGAATAAATGGCTAAGCAATATGGGAAGGTCGGACGCTTGTTTAATAATCGAATTCGGAATCCTGTCCTTTCCTGAGCCGTGTGAGTGTTTTAAGCGACTTATGTGTTTCTTAATGAGATCTGGGGAGACTTCGATTGTACTCAGTGTCCTATCTGAAAGTGCTCGAAAGAAAGGGACCGGATCGGACTCAGTAGCAAGGTGTTTTGCAAAGAAAATAAAAAACAACTCCCCCTTGTCAGTGTCATCGATGAGGAGGATTTTGCTATCATTTAGCAGGGATGGAAGTTCGTGACCACGCTTAGAGGACGACCGATGACGGAAGATGTTAGCGACGGATTTGCCAGGGTTCGAATCACTAAGGGCAAGTGAGTCCCTTTGCCTGTCGCGCGCTTGGCGCATCCTTGAGGCCATCTCAAAAATCTCTGTGATTCAGAATCTTTTCGGTCTGTTTTTAGTAGGGAAACAGGATTCAACCCTTCGGCCCCTAAATCCTTCGAAGACACCCCAATTATAGAGACCGTTCAGTTCACTGAGGGTATGGTTCTGACGGAGTTGCTGAGGCTAAAGGAATCCAAATCACCAGGTCCCGATGAGATTTTGAAGGAACTCGCCGGTGAGTTGTCTAAGCCACTCTCCATGCTTTTCCATACATCCTTCGAGACCGGATATCTGCCACCCGACTGGAAGTCGGCGTGGATTACGCCGCTGTACAAGGGCGGAACTCGGGTCTCTGCGAACAATTACAGACCGGTCAGCCTCACCTCCATTTGCTGTAAGATTATGGAGAAGATAATAAAGCAACAACTAATGCAGTTCCTTGAACAAAACCATTTGCTTTCCGATTCTCAGCATGGATTCCGAAAAAGCAGATCCTGTCTGACAAACCTGCTCTACTGTCTGGAACACTGGACTAGGGCTGTTGATAGAGGAGATATGGTGCATGTCATCTACATCTACTTTAAAAAGGCCTTCGATAGTGTGCCTCTCCACCGCCTTCTATACAAACTTAGCCGTGCAGGAGTGCGAGGTAAGTTTCTGATGTGGATTCAGAGCTTTTTAATCGGCCGCTCTCAAGCCGTCCACGTCGGTGACCAACAATCTGCCGAGGTTGCCGTTAAGAGTGGTGTTCCCCAAGGCTCTGTTCTTGGCCCTACACTGTTCCTCGTATACGTCAGTGACTGCGCTAACGAACTGAATTGCGATGTCGCAATGTTTGCCGATGACATAAAGATCTGGAGTACCATACGAAGCGAAGTTGACGAGGCGCGACTGCAGACAAATCTGGACCATCTCGAGCAATGGTCGAAAGACTGGCTTCTACCGTTCAACGTAAACAAGCGTACTTTCCTACGCGTTGGCAGAACCAGTTCTCCTATCACACGGTCTACCGTCTGACTGGCAAACCACTGCAAGAGGTCGACGCCCAGAAGGACTTGGGTGTATGGATCACAACGTCGCTTAAGCCTTCGCTGCAATGTTCAAAGGTGGCCAATTCGGCGATGTCCATTCTTTACCTCGTCAAACGGGCGTTCTCCTCCTTTGATGAAGACTGCTTCGCCAAGGTCTTTCGAACTTTTGTACGACCGCACCTGGAGTTTGCTATCCAAGCATGGAGACCCTGGACCGCTAAAGACTTCGGCATACTCGAAAAAGTTCGACGGCGAGCAACGAAACTTGTATCTGGGCAGTGGTCACTACCCTACGAAACACGATTAGCTAATCTTGACCTCTTTCCTTTGAGTTACAGACAGCTACGTGGGGACCTGATTCAAGCTTTCCGCATCGTGCGCAATCAGGGCTGCTGCCTCGCGTTTGGAGACTTCTTCGAGTTGGCGACTGCGACTAACCTGAGAGGCCATCCACTCAAACAGCGTGTGGCTAGTGCCCAGCAAGACACCCGAAAGTTCTTCTTCTCCAACAGAGTGGTTGCAGCTTGGAATGCCTTGCCTGAGGATGTTGTTATGTCGGGATCCGTAGATACCTTTAAACTGAAGCTAGATCACCATTGGAGCGCGAACCACAATAACGGCGGTCTATGGCCACCTTGACGGCCAACGTTGTCAATGTAGTGTTATAACGATGATACTACCAACATTTAAGTAATATATTTTATGCAAATTATTAAGTTTGGGCCACGTCGCAAACCGCCGTTCGCATTCACCACGATGCCTGTAGACTAAACAATTTTACTTTTTTCCCGTATCTTAAGTGTGCCTCAGCTGTCCGCTGTATTTGATCAACAAAACAAGTTAATGTGCCTCTAAACTGTTAACGCATGACATTCTGTGTTCATCTGTACAGTTTTTACTATTCCCCTCGCATTTCTTTCATGTTACTTCCTTTCAATTTCCTCCATATATATCCTCTGCATGTAACCAATAGGGATTTCAAAGGTACACACCTACTTTCCCTGAAATATACTGATACTGATTCTAAGATGAACTGATAAGGAACTAGTGGATGGGTCACGCAGCTGCCGTCTCAAATTTTTAGCCTGTTGGGAAGAAAATGAGGAACGAGGGAATCTAAAGTATTAGGATTGAGGTATCTACGCGGCACAAACTGTAGGATGTCCTTGAAAAAACATTGGACATGACGCCACGAATAATGGTTGCATCGCTACAGGAAAGGAAGTCACACCAATCCAAAGATCTAATATAGTTATTTATTAAGTCGTTGTTTACGCAATCGTAGCCTAGGCAAGTCCGAACGCTGCTAGTGTTTTTTGAAAAGGCAAGCGGTAAGCAACAATAAATTAATATGTGATCACTATCAAAGAGGTCCTTTTTGAAGGCAACAAAAAGAGGCAATGTCACTGGTGAAGACTAGATCATAAATTTGATTATCTCTTGTTGGAAAGCGCACTAGATGGGAGCAGTTAGAAAAATTGGCAATACCTTGGAAGGGTTGGAGTTTAGGTGGACAGATATTAGGTCATCGCGTAAGCTATCTGTAGTCAAATCGAACTTACTCAAACACATTACATCGGAAAATAATAAGGCACATTTAACGTTCTCATTCCCGAACACTCAGCTTATTTGCTTTGAGAAGGGTCCTCCCGAGATTTAATTGTAGATCGGGTAGTAACCCCCAATTATATCATAAGAAACTCCTGTTTCAAACTGGTTGTTAAATCCACTACTATCACTCCTCCCCCATAGCGTCAATTTTCGCGGTTTTTGATGTCATCTCCCGCATTTCGACCTCATGCGGTCTGTCGACGCTCACGCCGGAATCCTCAGTATTCGTTGTCTACTAGTAGTTTGGTCGTACCTCCCATCCCCAATGCTCGGCTGGGCTGGAAGCGTACTGTGGCCGATCGCGTCTGGGTTTCTCTCGTCTGGCCTCTTTGACGCGAACAGTCTCATCCGACGTATCAGTCCTGCTCTGACGATGTCCGATTATAATCTAGGCTGAC